AAAAAAAAAAAAAAAAAAAAAAGTTCTATGTTTGGGACAGAAGTTGAAATTTGTAAGAAGCTTTTTATCTCTGAAAAAAAAATGTTTTAATGCATCTGAAAATTTAAAGTTTATGGTTATTTTTCAACCTTTTTAAAGAATAACTAGATTCAAACTCTAAAATCCCTCTTGTGCAAAAAAAGAAGTTGACAACAAATGTGATTTATCATACGGGGACTTGCATATAGGTTATATTGACTTGGAAAAAGATATGATCCAGTGTCAAGAGAATTGTTGTAAAAAACTTGGAAAAGGAAAGGTGTTCATGTGGTTCATATCCAAGTTATACTAGCCATGTGATGGAGTACCTACTAGAACGAGAACTCTAAAAGACGAGACTAAGGAATTTCCTGTAAGGATAGGATTAGTCAGGGCCAAGCCTTGAGTCCTTACCTATTTAATTTAGTCTTGGATGAACTTACCAAGAGCATACAAAAAGATTATCCCTAATTGCATACCTTTTGTGAATTGATATTTTGATTGTCAAGGAAAGAGGTTAACTCTAAACTTGAATTTTGGAGATAGACTTTGGAACCAAAGGGTTTTCACTTGAGCAAAAGCATGCAGGAAACAAGAAGAAAATGACTTGGAAGTTAAAATGGTAGAAAATGTTATACCACAGGTTTCTAAGTTTAAATATGTTGGATTAATATTACAAAATTATAAGGAAATTTATGAAGATGTCACACACAATGTACCAGTTGGATGGTTAAAATAAAGAAAAACATGAGTTATTTGTGATCACAAAGTACTTACCAAACTTCAATAGAAGTTTTATTGTATTATTATACATTCAGCCATACTCTATTGTAGTAAATGTTTAAAAAGACAACATGAGAAAAAGGTCAAAGTAGCAAAAATAAAAAAGTTAATATGATTTATGGCCACCCAAGAAATGACAGGATACAAAATGATCGTATACGACAATACCAGGTGATATTAGTGTGCCAACGATTGAGGGGAAGATGATAAAAAAATCAGTTTATGTGATTTGGTCATGTGTAAAAATCAGTAGAATCATCATCAAGGAGAGTTAATTTCGTGGTTTTTAGCCATGTAAAAGAGGGAAGAGGATGACCAAGAAGAACAATAGAGAAAATTATTCAAGTTTTAGATGAGCTCAATCACATCACGCGATATGTGTATTGATCTCACCTAGTGGCATAAGACTTCTGTTCTCTTCTTCAAACAAAAATTATATGTGCGGTCAGATGCCAGTCTGCCCAGCATAGTGGCTATTAAGTCCCAATTTGCAACTAAATATCAAGTACAACTTCAAATCTAAAGGGACTCCAGCCCAAAATCTAACATTTCAAAAATGGGAGGGTAATAATTTATTTGTAAAATTATTTGTAGTGCAATCTGAAATTCGTGAATGCACACACAAAAACAATGTATAGTAATCTCGGCATTTCCAGGAATCATGTAAACTTCTCTTCCTGAAAAGTCAACCAAAAATACTCTCAACCTCACCTAACATCACAAGGATCTGTTAATCATTTTAATTTTAACATCTCATATTTTAGATACACATTAAATTCTTAAAGTTCAGAATAAACATTATTAAAAACTTGTGTAGCTGTTGCAATTTTTGTTAGAGATCCTACATTGTCTACTTGTAAGATGGAATGAGAGTCTATCTTAACGATTGTTATTGAGTCTATCAAACCACATGTATACGTCCATTTCAATCTTGCAAACTTCATACTCAAGGTGTCCAATTCTGTAACTTCACACCCAAGATGTTTAGTTTTCTTCTAAGCAGGAGGGATGTCGCGGAGATAGTGATTTTTTTTCTTTATATGTGGACAGTTGAAATAGAATTTACTGTCCAGGTCTTCAATTCAACCAAACCACAACCTTTGCCAAGGTAGGCATTCTCTTGAGCATTTTTGCATTTCAATGCTTGAGTCTCAACCAGGAGGGTTGTGTATCGTCAAGCCCATGTCGGGATACTCTTCATACTTATGTGCTAGAGACTAGAGAGCTAATTATCCTCGAGTCCCAAAGCCGAGAGTAAACTATTCTAATCAAACATATGCATATCATTGTGTGATTACCTACCGACTTAGCGAAGACAAAAATACCAGTGTCACAGATATCGCCTTTTTTACTGTTATAGATTACAGATATCATGATCTCAAATCATTGAAAGTCTAAAACACAACATCACTCACAATTTGCACCTATTTGTAATTTCAAATAAGATTGACGAGCAAACGCACCTGTCGAAGATCCAGATCCACCCGGAGGAGCACCATCGTAATCTCCAGCCTTCCAGAACTGCTTGCTGCCATTCACAGTCAAACTCGTATTCGAGTTGAGCCGCGAGGCCGAGTTGGAAGCCCGCTCCGGCGCCGGCAAGGATAGCACAGCCGTCAAAGGAGGCGGCGCCGGCGGGAGAGGACTGAGGAATCCAACCGGCAAAACCACTGCGCCGTCGTTGGTCCGTCGCTTCTTGGAAGGACTCTCTCCCGAGTCACCGGTCCGCACCACGCTTGCGACTACGCTGTCCAAATCGCAGTCCGAATCGGAATCGCTGCTGCTAAGTTCAATAACCGAACCCGGGGGAGGAACCGAAACGACGGCGTTTCGAGGCCTCCTCTCGGTCACAATAGGAGTCTCCAACAGTTCCTGTTTCACACAAGCATCCATGGGCGCCACAGCGGAAGGAACAGATGCGAAACTCGGTTTGGTGCAGAATACAATCTCGGTTTGAGGCAGCTTTCAAATTTCAAGTCGAAAGTTAAAGCAGAGAAAATCCAGTGAGGGCGATGGGGACGGTTGAACAAAAAGGGGATTTCGTTTTGTCTCGCAGAGGTTAAAAAGAAAACGAAAACGAGAAAAAATCGGGACTCCGCCGTTTGATCCCTCGGAATCGAGGAAAATATGGTGAACTCACCCACGTTTCTTTTTTTAAAAAGTACTCTTTGCGGAAGTCATACCACCACAGTTTTTTTTTTTATTCTTTTTATTTTTAGAAGTTAGTTTTTTATTTTCTGTTGATTTTTAGTATTTTACTTATATTTAAATTAGATGAATAAGACTTAATTTAGTATTATTATCCCGTTCTACTTAGCCATATTTTAATAATTCATGTTATAAAAATTTGCATTAAATATTAGAAAGATTTCAATTAGAGTGTATCAAAAGCATCTAATATGGTTACGATAAAATAAAATATAAGTTAGATAATAATAAGATTAAAAAAAAACCCTACATATCATCTAATGTTTAATGTATTTTTAGTTTATAATATATAAATATAAATATAATATATAATAATAACGAGGACAATAGTTTTTCATTAGTATTTCAAATCCAATCATACTGAAGTATTAGTCCTAAATAAACATTATAATGGGAATTTTTTTCTGCATTATAATGATGAATTTGTAATTTATGCAAAAATTTAGCCCTAAATTAAAATAAATTACCTTAAACCCTAATCGTATCATGTGGGTCCTACCTTTATCAATGATACCATGTCCAAGACAATAAAAGTGATGACCAACCTCCCATTATTTTACTCTCAACTTTCGTGGCCCTGCACATTTTCATGTGCAACATGGCTAAACAAACACTCCCCCAACTATATCTTCTAATTCTTCTAAGAATAGTTAGTAAAGATAAATACATAAGATGAACTTTATTATCTGTTTTCTCAAGCATCAAAACACTTCCAATCAAATCTAATAGATATGCCCTAACATGGACGTGAACTTATTCCTTTGATGGTTGTTCTGGTAATGGCAAAATGTTGTCTCTAAGCCACCTCAGTTTGACCATAGAGCCGACAAGTGACTCTCCCTTCACTGGAACGGTTCCAAGATAAGTATTACACATGTCCTCCCAATCAAACATTGTTGGACCAATGACAGGGAGTTCATCAATTCTTAGGCCAGTTTGAAGTGCAACATCCTCTAAGGTTATGGTACACTCCCCTGTTAGAAAATGAAAGGTGTGAGTTTCAAGTCTCTACCTTTCGACCAAAGCGGTTATCGGTGCATGATCCACCTTAAGATGCCTTAGTTTTGCCCCTCCAGTAAAACCAAGTTATTCAAGAATTGGAACAATTACAAGATTCTAACATTGAATGACTAAATAATGAAATGATGTTCTCAGTTTCCTACCGTTATGAACAAATTACTTAGTAATAATATACGTAGATATTGATTGACATCTAAAGTAATCAAAAATTATGAGTCAAGCATATCGTTCTACCAATGAAGGCAGACTTGTGCTGGTTTTGTTTCGTCAACAACATTTATCCTTAAAGTAAAGAAGTTGAATGAACTTTGGAAGTTTCAAAGAAATGAATATTTCTGAAGGATGCTTGGTTCATATTAGTTGTGGTAGATGTGGATGAAACAATTTATACATAAGGTTTGGTTCAAAGGAGGAGGACCAAGTACCATTGGATTCCTAAAGTTGTAATTACATTATTAGCCACAGTTAGAGTCTCAGCTTCGAGTCTTTTGAGACAAGATTCCCATCATTATTATCTCTGAAGGCGTGACCAACATGTCATGTAACATGGACAGAGGGAATCAATGCTTTGAAGGCGTGACTCACATGTCCTTATTATTGACAGAGGTAGGACCCACATGGTATGGTTAGGGTTTAGGATAATTTATTTCAGTTTAGGGCTAAGTTTCTGCATAAATTTCAAATTTTTTTGACTTCTGAAACTTGTACCATTGAATTCATTGATATGAAAATTATTGAAATAAGTTAGTTTGGTAAAAAAATTTATAAACAAATTACATAAAATATCGTCCCGAAAATGGTACGTCGGTTAGGGTTTAGGGTAGCTTTTTTAAGTTTAGGGCTAAGTTTTTGCATAAATTACAAATTTTTTTGAATTCTGAAACTTGTACCATTAAATTCATTGATATGAAAATTATTGAAATAAGTTGGTTTGGTAAAAAATTTCCAAAAAAAATTACATAAAATATCATCCCGAAAATGGTATGTCAGTTATGGTTTAGGGTTAATTTTTGTCAGCTTAGGGCTAACTAACCTATTTTTTAGGGTTTATGATTACACATATGTTTAGGGCAAGGGTTAGGGTTAGGGTTGTGGCCCAGGGAATCAATTCCCTCTTCGCACAACGTGCACTAACACATGGGGTCTAGGGAATCAATTCCCTCTGATGTGTGGGGCCTAGGATATCAATTCCCTTTTTGTACAATGTGCGCTGACGCATAGGGCCCAGGGAATTAATTGCTTCTAACATGTGGGGCCCAGGGAATCAATTTCTTCTAACGCATGGGGTCTAGGGAATCAATTCCCTCTTCGCACAACGTGCAATGACGCGTAGGGCCCAGAGAATCAATTCTTTCTAACGCGTGGGGCCTAGGGAATTAATTTCCTCTTCACACTACGTGCACTGAAGCATGGGACCCAGGGAATCAATTCCCTCTGATGCGTAGGGCATAGTAAATCAATTCCTTCTTACGCATGGGGTCCAAGGAATCAATTCCTTTTGACGCGTGGGACCCAAGGAATCCAATGTTACCACTATAAATATGCCTTTTTCCCTTCTTCATTCACCTTCAGCTTACCTTCTAACCTTGTTCCTTCATTCTTCCCCTGCTAAGCTTATCCTTTGAATCACGTTGTTCATTTCCTTTAAACCCTTCATAAAATATCTTCTTCAATTTATGTTATTGTTCACTTAGATGGTTTCATTAACCAATGTCCTAATGAAGCAGTCATCTTCTTCTCCCCATTTGTAAAATTAGTTCATATAAAGAAAGGAATTACTCTAGAAAGGCTACAGAGAATCATCCACACCAAGCTACATTGACAAGATACTATGGTGGCTAGCATACATTTTCGCTATCCTGTTAGACTTGGCCTAGGGGTTAATAAGTACACATGTGTTAAGTTGACTGATGACGAAGACGTTGAGGCACTTTTCAATGTTCACGATTTTAATCAACTCCAATCAAGTATTGAATTATATGCTACCTTTACTACAATTGAATCACATCCACCACAAGTTTCATTTTCACCTTCACCTTACGAAATTTACCAAACTTACCAAAACACAAACTCATATGGTCCTTCTAATGATATTCCCTCCGAGTACGAGATTGAGTCATACACACAACTTTTAACTGGTCCATTCATGGACCTTAATCAACTACCTTCTCATCCATTTGACCAAGCTATACCCTCTCCCCCTCAACCAAATCTTCAAAACAACATTGAAGAACATCTTCTTGTTGATCTCCCAACAAAAAATGTCTTTGATCCTTTTAGTGAGGACAAAACCGAAATCCTCTACCAACATGAAGATGATGATGAAAAAGAAACCCTCCCAGTTCCAAATAATCCATCAGTAGAACCACTACCCATATGCAGCCCACCTCCATAATTTTTAGACTTCCCCAATCAGATTCAACAAGATGACCTAAGTATAGCCATGTCCTGGAACGTGAAATGGTTATGTATCTAACATATAATTCCTATTGTGTTTGCTGTTGTTGAAGGTGAAACAAGCGATGCATGTTTTTTTTTCTCAATAACTTAAGGCAATATGTAACACTGCAAGATGAGTTGTGCCTCATTTTGGATTGTCACGATGCTATTTGAAGGGCATACTCCAGAAATGGAAGTGGTTGGACAGAAAATAATTCTATCATGTCTATTGCATTAGACACGTTGCACAAAACTTCATGCGATGATTCAAAAATGTAGCACTAAAGAAGGATGTCATCAACATGGGTAATTTTATCATTACTATTTTTTAAACTTTCTTACTTAGTCTTCATTATTTATTTATTTTTCTCCAGCATATGGGATGACTGAACCTAGATTCTTTTACTATTACAACATAGTAAGAGATAATAATGTTGAAGTAGCACAATGGTTGGACAACATCACAAGGAAAAAATGGACGTTGGCATGGGGATAATGGATGACGTTGGGGATACATGACAACAAACCTTACAAAGTTTATTAATTTGGTATTGAAGATAACAAGAAAACTGTCAATTTCTTCCATGATAATGGCAACATACACTCGTTGCAACAAGTTTTGCATTCAAAGAGGCAAGGAAGTAAATGCAATGATTAATGTTGGACATGACTACTTGAAAATTGCAAGTAAAACTATTTAAGATGCACAATCAAAGGCAAACATTCACAGAGTTATCACCTTTGACAGATCAAGCACTATATTTTTAGTGGAAGAAACGCAACATCCGGGCGAAGTTCAACCCGCTGGGAGATTTACAGTAAGGCTAGATGAGATGTGGTGTGATTGTGACAAGTTCCAGAAAGTTTATATCCCTTGCTCGCATGTACTCGCTTCATGCTTACATGCACGACATGATTATGAAAGCTACATATCTCCCATATATACCTTACAACAAGTTGTAATGATATACAAAGGACGGTTTGGAGAGTCTGACATGAAAATTATTGGTCTACTTACACTAGTCCAACTTTGTGGCCAAATTCAGAACTCAAGAGAAATTCCAAGGGTCGGTCCAAATCCAGCAGGATTAGAACATAGATGACCATTAGAGAACAACATTCGTGTAAAATATTGTTCCTATTGTCACACCCCAGTTCCCGCCACCATTGATCTTTATTGTTGTAATGAATTTTAGGTTTGATAAATGTAATTTTCATTGTAAATATAATTAATATTTTTAATACATACTAATTTATTAAATTTAGTAATTATAAAGATATTTTAATTGTATATATTATTAATATTTTTAAACACACGCATATAAATATAACTTATTATAATTATTATTTATTACATTTCTAATTTATTATAAATGCAACTTATTAAAATTATTATTTATTAACATTATAACTTATTATAATTTATTAAATTTAAAAATTAACGTACTTTTTAAAAATATTATTAAACGAATGT